ATTTTAAACATGAAGTAAGATTAATTAAATCAGGAGCAGGAATGTAATGAAAGACAGTTAACCTAGAAATAAAAGGGAAAACATTAAAACCATACTTCAGTTTCAAAGAATAAAATCTTCCTAAATCAGGCAAGCAAAATGTCCCTTGAACTTCAAAAAGTTCATAAAAAATGAGATTGAAAGGTAATGGGGAAAAAAGGGTAATAGAATATTCCTACAGTGTATGAAAGTCCCGTCGTACTTGTAGCAGCTACCACAAAAGGGTATTATGAAGAGCAAAGAAGATATTCTATGGAACCCAGGATGCACCTGTATAGAAATAGGTAAATGAATGTAGATAAACATAGATGTATACATAGTGTCCTGCCACTGTCCATTCCAGGGGAACGTGGTAACAATATTCTTTTTTGTTTTCTCATTCTTAAACATGGGTGACTAACTCATATTAATTGAAAGTACAGAAGCCTTAGCAATACACAAATTCCAGAGTCCCTTAATGCAAAATATGAAGCAGTAGGTCTCAATTTCAGTACTGATGACAGGACATGAGAAAATGGTTTGGGGACCATGTCTGCCCCCCTCAAGTTACACTAAAGTGAAAGAAAATCCAAATCCATTTCAGCTCAATAGCAAGGGCCGATAGGCCTCTCTTTACCTGCCATCCTTCTTTATCCTATTCTGACACCAGTTGTCCCTTCTCACTATACTCAACTGCTCTGCTGGGTTTGAAAAGTCATTGCAGTGGCCACACAAAACCCATATACAAAGGATTTTCTCAGGGAAGCTAACAAGTTACAGGATGTTAAGTACAAAGGTCTTTTCTCCACAGTGCCTCTTCTTAGTGAAGTTTACAGGCATGTCTTCCATTGGTTCCTCTCAACTGTGTGCTGTCTTGGCCTCTGCCAAGGTCCAAGGACCAGGAGGTCAGCCATTCTGCCTCAAAGTCTTGGAGTCACTCCTTCTCTGTCTCATGGTCTCAGAGGCACTGCTGCCTCTGCAATGTCACACAGGAATCTCGTGCATGTTCTGTTTGGTGGCTCTTATTTCATGATGGTCAAGGGATTCCACGAGGAATGGCAATACAAGCTAATCCCTTCTATCAGAACTTACTACACACTATTTTCATGGTCTCATACAATCAATTAGTGGGAGTTACAAAAATATGGATAGAAAAGCCATATTTAAGCAATCTGACTTGACCACAAGAAAGAATTAATATGGATGACGGGGGAGGAGGAGAGACTGGAGCACATCCTGGCCCAC